GGAAGACCCGTCAAAGCTATCTGACCAACAAGAAGCAGTGAAGAGGGCACAGAACCCCTTACCCATCTATGCAGCAGTCAATGTGCGGTCTGATATTAGCAGTAATGACTTTGCTGGTATAAATAAGACAGATTTATTTTTCTATTTTAAAAATCTCTAAATAATCCCCTTTGCATCTCCATCTTTCCCCATTCACTAAAGCTCGGATAATGATCATAAGACATGAGGTTCTGATTAGCCAGTATGTGGAGGCCCAATAGCTAATGTGTCAAACTGGACACTACTTGGCAAAGTTCAACTTCCCCTTCAACTGTGTTTTCCTCTGAGCTATATCACCAAAGATCAGAGCCTTGCATTAGACTGGTTCTTTCAAATATTTTGGTAGGGAGGATCTAAAATTTTGAATAGCTGTGAGTGACAGTGTACTGTACTTACAAAAGTATTTAGGTCTTCATCTTAGTTTATAAGTGAGTCTACAGATAATAAATTAAAATATTTGATCATTGGCCGACATGCGTCAAACAGATCTTCTCAATTACCATATTTTTCTGTACCGTCTGTTTGATTTGGGTAGAACAGAGGCCTTGTCTACACTTATCAAGAGATTGGCGCTGCTGGCATCAATCCCCCAGGAATTGATCCCTGTAGCACTGATCTCCTGGTAAGCTGTTCACGCTCTCATTAACCAGTTACCTTGGGCTTGAATAAAGACATTACAAGTGTCAAATTATCTACAGATTTGATACTGTTACCCTGGGTTTGAATAAAGACATTAACTGGTTAACATACTACAAAGCCAGTTTTACCTGCCTTTGACATCAACATTTTCACATCAAAAGCTATGCAAGAGATCTATCCAGCCCACTTAATTAGTTTCATTAACACAGGTCCTGCAATTTAAAGTGACAGCTTTTGCTGTTATATATCTCTTGGATTCTGTTACTTCTACTCCAACTCATCTGATGAAGTGGGTCTTACCCACAAAAACTCATGATCCTATATATTTTGTTAGTCTCTTAGGTGCCACAGGACTAATTAGCATTATTGTTTATTATTTCTATTGCATTAGTGTCCAGGAGCCCCAGTCCTTGTCCAGAACCTACTGGGTTGGGCTCCATACAAACACAGAACAAAAAGATGGTCCCTGCTGCTAACAATTTTACAATCGAAGTATAAGACAGAGTGTGAGTACAGGCAGAAAGACAGAGCACAAGGTACCAATAGGCTAATACTGGTCAGCAAAATAGATAGTGGTCTCAGTGGAGCAGCAGCCTAACAAATTGTCCAGTTGTTTGCAGGCGTTAGAGCAAAGTAGAGTTTAAAGGAGGGATTTGTAAGCCAATGAGGTAGTTTTTTGGGTATTTATGGGGAGCTTATCCCAACCATGAGGAGCAGTATGGGGGAGAGCACCAAATGCCTGGCAGAAAATTTAACAAGTGAGCAATGGAAGCTGATATTGGCTGATTGATTTTGATGCTGTATGAGAGATGACAGGTAGCAGGGAGATATCTTAAGAAGGGCCTTGACTATAAGTGAAGATGAGTCATTTATGAAGACCGGGTTGGGAGATGCAAAAAGAGAGGAGTGAGCTGGTCTTTGCAGCAGCATTATGAATTACTGCTCAGAAAAAATGTGGAATTGCTAGTGGGCTTCAGCTAATGTTTTCATCATTGAACAGAGTGGGAGTAGGCAAGGGCTGGCTTACCGCAAGTTGGGAGAGAATTGATTAGGGTTGGGTGATTAACCAGTTAACAAGGGGATTCAGTTTGTTAGCTGGGAACTGTTAAATGGGCACAGGTGGGATTGGGAAAGGCTGGAAGACTGGTCAACAAAACCTCAAGATCTCAGAGAGGTGAGAACTCTTCCCTTGCCTTCCTATGTCACAGGAGTGCTTTGACGCTGTCCCATATGGTGATGAGACATGAAGCTGCGTAAGGCATTGTAAATTATACAGTGGTGTGTGTTTGGGAGCTGCTCTAAAACAGGGGTCTCCAAACTTTTCTGCCCGAGGGCCGCATTAACTATCAAACAGCAGTTCGGGGGCCGACTACACACTTGAGGTCCAAATAAAAAACAATCAAAACATGGATGTTGTTTTTAATTATTTATTTAATATTATTTTATTCAGTTATTATTTAATAACACATTGATACACTACACATGAACACCTGTATTAGTGTGAATGGTGAAATTGTTTCCTGGATGCCAAAATAGCAGACATTTCTGGCTTTAGAAATCACTGTTTGAAATTGGGGGTGGTGCTTGTCCTAGTCCTGCAGGAGGGGCTCCAGAACGGGGAAACTGCTGAGAACTCATTTCCACCTGCGCAATGTGATGAAAATTGTAAGCAACATAATCCTGGCAATATGTTCAGCCTAAGACACTCACACTTGAAGAGATGTGATCGCTCTCCTATCATGCAGGGAATGAGGTGACAATTTGTAACATAGCCCCATGGAACAAGGGGCATGCATTTTAATGGGAAAAGCTGGTTTGAAAGCAGACACGTTATCACTTGGTAAAGGAAGTTGGAAAGCAGTGCCCAACGCTCCCACAGACTGATACCCGGCAGGGCGGTGCTGCTCTGGGTTGTGGATGAGAGAGACCAGACGTGGAAGGGAGAGGGATGTTTCTTCAGGGCGCACTGCAGGGACCAGGGCAGCGTGCTAGGCACGGCACAGCGTCACCCAGAGGCTGTGCCACAGCAACCAGACCGCCTCCTGCAATGGGCACCAGCTCCTCAGCCCCGCCCCCGGAGAAGTAGCCCCTCGCTCCTAGCCCCTGAGAAACCACCGTCGGGTTTCCTCCCCTCCGTCCAGCCTCCCGCGATCCTCTGCCGCCGCGGGCCGCATCCGGCCCGCGGGCCGTAGTTTGGAGACCCCTGCTCTAAAAGATAAATCCAGACTGAGGGGGCCCATTCTGAGACAAACATCTAGACATTCAAGTTGCTGTCATTGCCAGAATTGTAGTATGTGGTGAGACATCCTAAGGCATGGTACACTTGAACCTCTTTATTCTGGCTACCCTGGAAAAACGGTATGCTGGATGTAAAGAATTTGCTGAGCCAAGGAGGGTGCTGCAGGGTCAAGGCATGAGGGAGATGGGGGTGGGCACTTATTTTGCACCCTGCCCCTGGGGGGCATGTGTGGCTCCATGCTCTCCACAGTTTCCGTCACTATGGGAATGGAAGGGAAAAGCCACGAGGGAAGCTGCTGCAGTCCAGAGATAGCAATAGTTCCTGCTGCTTTTGTGCCCTACTCTGCAAGGGACAATGGCTGGTGGATACGTAGACCAGAGGTTTAAGTAATCCCCAAACAACGCTGCACATAGAGTTCCTACAGAGCCTTTCTGGAAGATCCAACTAAATCTTCCCCCAAAATAGTCACATCAGATCTATTAGGTATGGGGTTTTGGGAGAAGGAATTGCTGGTGGGTTATGCTGGAAGAAGCAGAACATCATCTTTAGCCCTCTTATAAGAATAGGATAATTCGCTTCAGAGTTTTTCTGAGATAACTATTGATCTGCTCTCTTACTCTCAGAATGGTGTGAGTTCACTCCCTATGAGGTTGGATTCCGTAAGTATGGAGCTTTCATCCAAACAGAAGATTTTGACAGTGAATTCTTCATGGGGCGGCTGATCCGGAAACGTCCAGAGCCTAGGATCTGCTATCTGCTGGGTAGGCTCTAATGCTGCTGGCTTGGAAAGGAGAGGGCTAGTTCTGTTCTGGGCTTTCAGGAACCACAGGCCCTGTAAATGTTATCCCATCTGTTTCTGGAGAATCTTTCTAAAAAGACTAAAAATCCATCAATGTGTTACCAGATATAGTCTTGTTCTCCTGAGCCTTCTTTTTTTTCTCAGCTCTAATCCTAGGCTACCATTACCTGAAGCCTGGTCACCTGATCCAACCACTAGTTGAAGCCCAAACCCATCACTTGGGAAAGGGATAACGGGCATAGGGTTAAACTCTTCTAAGACGACCAGCTCATCAAAGATAGACAGTGCTGAATGGCAGCACCTCTGTTGACTTGCACTAGGCTTGAGAAAGCTACTAAGGTGTTAAATCCTTCTTCATTTCTATCTTTACTATCTATTCCTCTGCATCTAGGAATTTGGGGCAGTGCCTTTGCTGCAAGTCTGGATGATGTCTGCCTGAAGATGGTTGGTTCAGGACTGGGCTTTCTAGATTCTCTGAAAGAAGTAATCAAAGTCATAGGTAAGGGAATTCTGATTGTACCCTGTAAAACAGTTTTTGTTAAATTGGGTTTTCTAGAGGTCTCTTTTTAGCTTGATCACACAACACAGTAACATAAATCCAAAATGTAAGAAGTCCTGTGGAATTTCCAAGATGAGAGAAGGCCCCACTGGGCTGGATAGTTAACAGTTTCTCTAAAGCTGTATCCTGCTCTCTTCTGTCATGGAGTTTCTCTCAACACTATCACCTCTCTTTACACAATGGATTAAATAATGGTCATTAACTTCTCTTCCTCTCACTCCCTTCCCCCACCCCAGTCTAATCTGGTTCTCCTGACAGCAATATTTTGAGACCCTTCTAGATGGCAGGAGAATGTCGTTTTGTTTTCAGATAAGGAACTGTGGCACAGCCGAGCAGACAGGCTAAATGACTGGTCCAAGATTGTATAGGAAGTTGATTGAAGATCTGGGAATTGAGCTCAAGTCCCTTGAGTCTCAGTCATGTATCTAAACCACAAAGAGAAGAAGGAAGAGCCAATATGTTAGTTGGGTTCTTGAGACCTGGGTTCAATTCCATTCTTGGCCTAGACTTTCTCTGTAACATTAAGAAGTCACTCTGGGCCTCGGTTCTACATTTGTGCAATGGGATAATAGTATTTCCCTACCTCAGAGGGGTGGTGGGAGGATACATACATTACAGATTGTGAGGTGTGCAGGTATTATGGTAACAGTGGGAGATATAGGAGTACCTTCAATAGGCAGGTAGAAAAACCATCCTTCATCTAGCTCTGCATTTGTTGTACCACAGTGTTAGATTTCACTACACTGTGCCTTATTTGTAATCATAAGAAATACTGCAGTGAATGTTCAATATTTATAATATATATTATATATTTATGGTGTCCCTAGCCTCTGTTTGTCAAGGCTGGGAATGGACAGGAGATGGATCACTTGATCATTGTCCTGTCCATTCCCTCTGGGGCACCTGGCATTGGCCACAGTCAGAAGACAGGGTACTGGGATAGATGGGCCTTTGCCCTGACACAGTATGTCCATTCTGATGATCTTATGCCATGGTCACCAACCAGTAGATCGCGATCTACCGGTAGATCTCGGAGGCTCTAAGAGTAGCTCTTGAGCCCTCTCTGAACTGCGCACCTGCGCAGTACATTTACATTAGATTTCTTCATTTCAGGAGCAGCTACTCACTGAGCAACAGCACAGATGAGTAGCTGCGAGAAATGGTGGGAATTTTTTTTTAAAGTAGCAGTATAAAGATTGGGGATAGCAAGTGACGGAGAGGAGGAGAATAGAGAGAGCGGGGCTTCAAGGAAGGGGTGGAGTGGTAGATCTTAGCTTGGTCTGTCATTTAAAAAGTGATCTTGGGTGTAAAAAGGTTGGAGACCACTGTTCTTATGAGTGTTGTTCCTATATGAGAGCATATTCTTGATGTCATTTGATGATAGTTTTCATTAGCATCAGTTTGGAATGGCTATATGACTCATGAGTGAGATTTGAAAGACTTCCTAAATGATGACACTTCAGTATAGACTCAGTTAATTTGCAACAGGTCGAATCTCTATAGTCCTGTGCCTGGTGACCTGACTAGTTCCTAACCGGAGAATTTGCTGGATCATGGGAGGTCAATATTGTCTAGCAACATTACCAAAACTTCCACTGTTTAGAGAGCTCTTAGAAGATATTTAGAAGTAAATTAGGGCTAAATAACAGCACAGAACAACAGGACTAGTGGCTATAAACAACTTTATGGGACTGAGAGAAAGTTGGCCATGCCCATGGTAAGTGCACATCCAGCTAATTAAACTCATGTTGGACCACAGATGCTGCCAGGCCAGTGTGTGCTGGACTAGAGAGGTTCAATCTGTACCTCAGTCTAATCCATTTTTACAATGCCCACATATGTAGGAGAAAAAATAGTCAGGACAATAGACTGAGCTTTCATATGTGGGGAAAAAAAAATAGTACCTGGAAATATTGGGCATGAATGAACATGCTTTTAAATACTTTCTGATCTTTATCATGGCTTGTGTTACAGATGATTGCCGAAGATTCCGTTACCAGGATCGCACTCGATTAAAGACTCGTTTGGTTATACCAGGGGGACCTTTCTTACAAATTTGCCAGGATTTCTTCAAGTCCCGTGTCACCTCTGGGGAAACTTTCAACTTCATGCAAGGCTTGTACCTTCACAAAGAATATGTCAACAACAGGAATTTTGTGACCTGGAAAGGTAGCTATTTGAAAGAAATAAGGCTGTTGGGAAATTCCATTAATATTTTAAAATCATGCATAACTTTAGCATTTAGGGCCAAATTCATTGCTAGTGTAGATTTGGAGCCACTCGATTGAAGTCAGTGGAGGGCTGCTGATTCACACCAGTGACAGAAAATTTGATTCAATTGACAAACTTATTGGCTATGAAATAATATCACCAGCTGGTGATACAAATCTGAGTTCTCCTGTTTCCTGAATATCCTCAGTGCAGGTCTGATTTTGGTATGAGAGTATAGAACATGTATTATAGGCTTCTCCTTAAGGTCTCAATGGCTACATCTAGACTGCATCCCTCTGTTGACAGAGGGATGCAAATCAAGCACATTGAAATTGCTAATGAAGCAGGGATTTAAATATCCTGTGCTTCATTAGCATAAACATGGCTGCCGCTTTTTCCCAAAACGGAGCTGTTTCGAAAAAATGAGGTTTATAGGATCTGTTGAAAAAGGGTTTATTTTCAACAGCTCCATGTCTAGACTGCCGCTCTTTTCGAAAAAGCTCCATTTCAGAAAAAAGCGGTGGCCGTGTTTATACTAATGAAGCACGGGATTTTTAAATCCCTGCTTCATTAGCAATTTCAATGCGCCTAATCTACATCTCTCTGTCAACAGAGAAGTGTAGTTTAGACCCACCCAAGGTATTGTTTCATTCTCTGTTTCCAAAGTTTTCCCCATCTTTTTGATAACTAATTTGATTTTTTTGTGTGTGGGGGAATGTCATGTGTGTCTGTTTAGGTACACACCTGGATGCTTTTCCCAACCAGCTGACTCCTACGGAAGATAGCCTGTACCTGGTGGATGGTGGTTTTTCTATCAACTCTCCCTTTCCCTTGGTGCTTCAACCAGAAAGAGATGTAGATGTCATTCTATCATTTAACTACTCTTGGAACGCTCCATTTGAGGTGAGACGCAATTGAGCAGGATCAGACCGGGAAAGAAGCATGGAAATACACATTTTTCATACTGTGGATCATTCCAAGATATTTGAATACAGAGCCTCATGTGGTAGGACATATTGTACTAAATCCAAAACCATTCACGTTGTCACATCATGCAGTTCACTGTGAACTTCACATCACAACACGAACTTCATACGTGGAACTTGACACAAACATTAGTAGCTGAATGCCAGTCTTTCTGCTCAAGAAGAGCGGAAGGTGGTGATGGTTTTTTTGAGCTAACAGAATGCTATTTGTGCTGTAATCAAAAGTGTGTTCACAAAACATTATGCACAGATGGTCAAAATTGATACATAATTTTGAAAAGATTCAGTTTTAATTTGTGTATTTTGAGGGACAACATTTATTTCCAAATCTTCTTCTTATTGATTTTACTATGTCCCCTAGCAACATAACGTCTAGTTTCTGTTAAAAATACATCTACAGAAACTGAGCTCCATCAGATTCAGTTATAAAATCCTAATATTAGACAAACTTTGTCATTCCGTAGTCAATGCCTCCTTATTTTATTGCCAAAAAAGGTGATAGCAATGCTGTGTATTACTTGTCTATGACCCCTCATAAGATATACTGTTAACTTTTGTTCGTTTTAATTTTTGAGTTTTAATTATGGAAGCATTTTATTTATTTATTTATTTTAGCAAAGTGAGAAATCTGAATCCAGTTCTTCAAAGCTTAACCAGAGGTTTGGTCATGTAAAATGATAGTGACTAACTTTTGAAATATATTAGAAAAATTTTAACAAAACTTGTTAAATAACACTTAGGATGTCTACACTTTAAAAAAAAATGTACTGATTTTTCACAGTACCCCTGAGGGGCAGTGTTCCCTCACATTATTTCACACATGGATGGAAAAAATTAATGTGCACTGAGGCAGGTGTGAATGTGTACCACCAGTAGAAACTCATGCTGCTGGCTGTGGGGGCACTCTGCTAATCAGCTGGGTGGCATTTGAATCTCTACTGGCCACTCAAGTGCTTAGCTTACAGGGAACACTGTGTGAGGTAATATTTACCCCATTTTACAGATGAGGAAAATGGAAAGAGGGAGGTCAAATGACTTGGGTCTGTATCTGAAGGAATTTCTATTTTTGGAAAAAATACATGAAAAGTATACATATGTAGTCTCAATTACTGTATTCTTCGAAAATGAAGGCTGGAGTGAGAGTTCGGAGGAGAGGAGCAGGGGGTAGGTGTCTTAGGGGCAGAGGACTAGTGAGGGTGATGCTGCTCTGATGCAGACTCCTCCCAGGGGACCAGGGCAGCGCTTCCCTGACAGCAGCCACCTCCCCAAGTTGCCCTCCCTCACGACCTGCAGGCTGTCTGGATGGACCAGTCTATGGAGGCTGCCCCCTCCTGCAGCAACCTTCCCGCGGCCTGCAGGCTGTCTGGGGTTGGGGTACCTCAAGGCTCTAGGGGCTGCTCCCACCTGTAGCCGCCTTTCCCCCCTTGCAGCCTCTAGGCTACTTTGGAAGGTGAGACTCCAGGGATGGCTTCTCATGGAGCCTGCAGGTTGTCGGAGTGGGGTGAGGCTTGGGGTGCTGCCTTCAGCACCCTCCCTTACCTGTGGCCTGCAGGCTGTTTGGGGAGAGGCCAGGCTCTGTTTCCTCCCCTCCAGCAGCCCCTGCAGGCTCTCCAGGGGGACAGGGCGCATGCTCCTTACTGTGGTGCTGGCAAGCTGTCAGAACCCCAGCCCTTCTGGTTGCTCTATTCGTGCTGCAACTGCCCCCAGTGGCCACTCTCAGTATGGCGTCACTCCCATTTCTGTGCCCCTCCCTTTCACGTTCTTCCTTTCTGTGCCCTCTTCCATTCCACATTATGGGAAATAGTCCCATTCCTGGCATTTCCCATTTTCCAAGCACAACCAAACCCTGACCTTGATTTAAGTCAAGGTAAGAGGAAGCTGCATTCCAAATTTGGTGGTCCTAGGTCTTATCATTTGGGAGGAGTTCTTGAACAAATGGACAAACAGATGCACAGACAGACACACTCTAAAATATGTATGTTTATGAAAGAGAGAGAGAGAGATTTGCTGGACAAACAGATGCACAGACAGACACACTCTAAAATATATATGTTTATGAAAGAGAGAGAGAGATTTGTCACATAACAGAAGTTCTATATGAATGTTGAATAGTTGATAGTTGTGCCATAATTATTAGAAGGAAGATATTCTCTATTTTTCTGTTTCCTCTGGGTAAAACAAGACCTGACTTTTGTTCTATAATTGAAGGTTTTACAGTTGACTCAGAAATATTGTGAAGAACGGGACATCCCCTTTCCAAAAATCATCTTGAATGAGGAAGATGAGAAGAATCCAAAAGAGTGTTACATGTTTATGGATGATGAGAACCCAAATGCTCCTATAATTCTTCATTTCCCATTGGTGAATGACACATTCCAGAAATACAAGGCACCAGGTAAAGGAGTGTGCATCAAGACCCTGTGATTAAGGTATTCAGGTATGATTAGCCAGACAGAATGAGGGACTGGCTGAACTTTCCTAACGATGAAATTTTTTCAGTTGTACCGTATTTTCCGGCGTATTAGGCGACTGGGCGAATAAGACGACCCCCTAATTTTCTAGTTAAAACATAGGTTTTCGCCTATACTCGCCGTATAAGACTACCCTCCCTTAAGAGGCCAATCGGCAGCACCCCAGCTGCTCTGCCCCAGGGTCCACAACAAAAGCCTGGTCTGCTGGGGGGGGAGGCGCACTAGCTGCGCCCCCCCCCCAGCAGACCAAGGACACGGGGAGCAAAGCCGCAGCGGCAGTGGGATGGCGCGCCTCTGAGGCTTTGCTCTGGCAAAGCTTCAGAGGCGCGGGACCCCTCCACCTCCCCAGCTTTGCTCCAGGTGTCCCTGGTCTGCTGGAGATGGTCCCCAGCAGACCAGGGGCACCCGGAGCAGCTTTTCTCGCCCCGGAGGGCGAGGGTGTCCTCCGGGGCGAGAAAAGCCCCGTTCGTACCTGCAAGTCGGGGACTGCCTGTAAGTTTATACCCGGCGTATAAGACGACCCCCGATTTTTGGGGGATGTTTTTTAGTATAAAAAGTCGTCTTATACGCCGGAAAATACGGTAGTTGTGTTGGCTCCATGGTATGAGACACAAGGTGGGTGAGGTAATATATTTTATTGGAACAACTTCTGTTGGTGAGAGACGAGCTTTTGAGCTTATATAGAGCTCTTTCTTGATCAGGAGACCAGTATGAAGACTAAAAGATAAAAAATATTACCAATAAGGGAGATTATCTCTCTCACCTTATCTCCCTAACCATAAAGTAACACAGTTTTCTCAGACCTAGTTCCTGTAAGCTATTGGCTCTGTTACTTTTTTACAGAAAGAGCCTCAGAAGTGTTTACTTTTGGTGAAGGGAGGAATGGGGCTGTCCCAAAAGCTATTTTAAAGTATGGGGGAATTCGAGTAGACAATTATTTGCTCCTTTATGAACTAACCCTTTCATTACCAAGTAGTTTGACGTATATAATGGCAGATATAGATGTGAACTAATATTTCTGGAGTTTATCCTTTCTCTGGTGACTTGGGGGTTACTGTTATTGGTATTATAAAGAGGTCTGTACAGTCGTTTTGCTTTGCCTCAAGTCTTATAATGTAAGCATTCCCAGCTGTTTTTTGACATGAGATCCTGAAATGCCTTTTAACTCATAAGACCCCATTGCTCATTTTAAAATCAAGTTTAATTACAACAGAAGGTGCAGGGGCCTTTTTCTGTATATAGGGTTCGCTGTGAGCAGCTAACATATGTTGAAGCTCAAGTGTCCCTATCTACATTAGGATGTTAAAACCAGGTTTTAAAAACACACTTTTTCTCTAAATGTGGGCAGCCACTTCCTGGACGGATTAACATTGTTACCTTGGAGTCAGGTTCGTATTTCTTATCCCCAAATTAATATTGTAGCGTCATGCTGTGATCTGTTCCCACAAAACAATATTTTCTCTCTTTGACCTGTATTTTTGGAAGACAGTGGAAGTATGAAGTGGAGATGATACTTTGGCTCAAAGCTTGAAAACTAAAGAATTGTGATTTGTGTGTGCTGAAATCACTTCTTGAGTAATTCCTGAACAGGAGAGTGACCAAACGTTTGCTTAGTCTGTGACCTTCATTGGTGATTCAATGAAAGGGTTCTTGTAAGACTTTCACAGTTTATTTTTCTCTGATTGCAGGAGTAGAACGCAAATCAGAAGATGAGAAATCTTTTGGTGACTTTGTCATTAAGGGAAAAGACTCGCCTTACCGCACGCTGAACTTCACCTTTAAACCCTATGACTTTGACAGGCTGGTGGAAGTGACCCGTTACAATGTTCTGAACAACAAGGCCATTCTCCAAAAAGCCCTAAATTTGGCTCTGAGCAGGAGGAGGAAGAAGAAGAAGAGCTATAGGCTCTGAGAACCTTCCTGGCAAAGGACATGGATGGACTGCAGTGCACCAAAGGCATATGGGTCAAGTAAGAATGCTGAAGGCCGAAGTAGTTGCAAGCCACCTTCATTTGAATGGGAGAAGCATAGTTTAATTCCCTACATGTCACACTAAAAACTGACCAGATATGGTAGAAATCTCTCCCTCTCCCCCCACTCCTGTTGTACTTTGCTACAGTTTGTAAAGCCCATGAAGATAATAGTTGTTTTTCATTGCTAACTGTCTGGTATTAAGAAACCAAACTAGGTACATTGTGAGGTAACAGGAGTTCCTCTCTTGTTACTCAGCACAGTCACAGATTCATCTAAGTTCTGGCTGTGCAGGGTGGTAGGGATGCTGATATGAGGTATAACAATCCTCCTCGTTCCTGAGCCAGTGATGCATGTTTTTAGTTATGGATCTCTGTGGAGGAGAGGGTGTTTAAGTGTAGGTTATGCAGACAAATGTATCTTGGGGACTGGATTGGTTAAGGCCACACTACTCCATTTTTGTGCTGTGACACATCTAGAATTTGAAGCCAGGTAACCAGTGGTGAAAGTCCATTCAGGAGCTGTGCCAAGTCATGGAGAAAATCCTGGTTTGTTGGCAGAGATTCCTCTGTTCAAGGCATGGATAAAGTGGGCTAATTCCTCTACACAGTTTAATTTAGCCAATGCCAAAAGGAACTCTTTTAAAAATCTGCTAATGTAATAATGTTGTTTTTGTTCTATAAAACCCTAGATATCTTGGTCCTAGCAGCTTTAGAGGCTGACTCTCTCTCCTTATGTGATACCAGAGCTATTGTCCTAATTTCTGTCTAACATAATTGGGGAGGCATTGGGAGTTCCCAGGAAAGGATCCTTGGTGATGGAAATTGCTTCCTCTTGCTGCTGCAACCTGACTCACCAGAGCCTGGAATCGTTGCCCTTCAGATGCTGCAAAAACTCATCTGTTTGTTTTCTCGGATATTTCCTGGGGAGGAGGAAGACAGGCTATTTTTCCATAATGGGTAGGTTTTAGGGAGGTCTGTTTTTTTATAAGATATTTGGGACAGTGCCTTGTTTAGGATTTTATTTTGTTAGTGTGCGTTTTAGAGGACTACTTTGATGCAGCAACTGCTTGAGATAGGTGTAACTACTAAATATGAATAAATAAAATGAATGCAAGATGCTGCTGCTGCATTGTGGGGTAGAATTACTGCACTGCAGAAAGAACTTTTAAGCAGAAGAAAATAATCCTCAAGGAATGTCTAAAATGTATTGGGGAATAACCACTATCCATGTGTATGGTGTCTAATTTGAACTGAATGTGCTGACTGTGTGTTTTAACTTTTATGACAGAAGTTTGATGTCCCATTCAAAGCAGACCATAATGTAGTTGTAACTTTTCAAGAACACTGTGCAACTTCATTTCTATAAAGGAAAGAGTATTTTCTACATTTCCTTTTAATAAAACAAAAATAATTTTGCTATGGGCTGCTTTTCAGGCCACAAAGCTCAAGTGGAGGGTTGTTCTTCTTTACTTATTGGTGCTTGTTCAGCTTCATGATAGTTCTACCTCCTCCAGTTTTAAGTACCTTCTAATTAAAGGTAAATAATAACAACAAATACTATACCTACCTCTCAACATATTGTCTTTTCATCGGTTGTTCTCAAAGCACTTTACATAAGAACATAAGAACGACCGTACTGGGTCAGACCAAAGGTCCATCTAGCCTGATAGCCTGTCTGCCGACAGTGGCCAACACCAGGTGCCCCAGAGCGGGTGGACCGAAGACAATGATCAAGTGATTTGTCTCCTGCCATCCTTCTCCAGCCTCTGACAAACAGAGGCCAGGAACACCATTTCTATCCCCTGGCTAATAGCCTTTTATGGACCTAACCTCCATGAAATTATCTAACTTATCTTTAAACTCTGTTTTAAAGAAAGAATGAAATTATCTAGCTTCTCTTTAAACTCTGTTTTAAAGAAAGGTGAGTATCATTATCCTTATTTTACAGGTAGGGAACCTGACCACAGTGACTTGCCAGGGACATCCCAGAAGGCCAGGAACAGAGCCAGAAGTAGAACCCAAGTCTCCTGAGTCTGACCAGTGCTCTATCCATTAGGGAATAGTGCTAAAATATACTCCAATCCTAAAAATATAGTCTATCTACATTCTAGGGGCCTTGCTTTTCAGTGTACTGAATAACTGCAGTTCTGAGCGGTTAAACTGCCTTGCCACCAGGCTGCGAACACCACTTTTATGTCCTTTTCTCCTGTTGAGGCATGACGAGAATCCACAATTCAGTGCTATCCGTTTTCATTATTTTCAGTACAGATCAACCTCTTTTCTTTGTAGGACTGAGAACGCTATCGTCTTTTCTTTTTACCAATAAATTAATGAGAGTAATTGCATTGTTCGTTTATAAATATTCCTGACTGGGCTCTGCTAAAGCCTTGCATCCACGTTGGGCTTGGGATGTTTAGTGCGGTATGGTGGGTGGGGTATAGAAGAGAGATTGGGGTAGAGGACTGGGGTAGAGTTTGGGATAGAGGAAGGGAGTATGGGGTCTGAGAGGGAGTTTGGGTGAAGAAGGGAGTTGTGATCTGGGACAGGCTGGAGTGAAGGGTCCAGGAAAGGTTATGGGTACAGGAAAGGATTCCGGCTTAGGGAAGAGGTGTAGGAGGGGGTGCAGGGTCTGGGAGGGAGTTGTGACTTGGGGGGAAGGGTGCAGAGGGTTTGGGTGGTGACATGGGGCAGGGAAATGGAGTGCAGGGTCAGAGAGGGGTATGTGTGCAGGAAAGGATTTGGCCTGGGGGATGAGTGCAGGAGGGGATGCAAGGTCTGGGAGGGAATTGTGACTTGGAGGAGGTGGGGAGAGGGGATACTGAGGGGTGGCCTGGAGCAGGTAGTTGGGGGGAGAAGGGGGATAGGGTGCCAGAGAGGCAGTCTCTGGCTGGGAGGTGCTTATCTAGGTGGCTCCCAGCTAGCAGCTCTGCAGACTCCAGCCTGTGCGCTGGGTGGCTGCTCCATATGTGTCTGCTCCAGCATGGGCAGGTGGTTGTGAGGAGGCCTCATTCACTGCCCCTGCCTTCAGCAAACTATCTCAACTCCAATAGAAGCTGGAGGATTTTGTTGGGGCAAAGACTGTGCACAAAACTTTCTCCTCCCTGCCCAGACAACAGAGCAATTAGCAACCTGCAATTTAAAGCTGCTGTGGCTGCTTTGTAGCAAAGGTGCTGGTAAGGCACCCATGGGCTGGATCTGGTTGCTTGGCTGGCTGGATCCGGCCTGCTAGCTGCCTCTTGCTCACCTCTGGTTTAGATGGTGATACCGTCACTAGAATGGGACGTGGCTTTCTGTCTGCTCTTCATTTTTATCACTAGCCAGTTGGCTGAGACTCCACAAACCTGTCAGAAAATGGGTTGACTTTGTAATTTTGTATACAGTATAAACCAAATAAATCTTTAAGAACACTACACCAGGCAGATCTTGATTGTATCAGCTGTTTTACTTTGATTCTGGATTCAGCCCTGAAACTTGCAGAAATTAGGGTGTGTACACAAATAAAACAAAACTGACAACAAGTTTTCCATGATGCCCTGTGCAGCAAAGTTTTGCATTATTCCCAACAAGTCAACTATTTTGCAAGCATTTTGATACAGGTTGCACCTCCCAAATCCGGGACTCTCTGGTCCAGTAACATCCATGGTCCAGTAGGACCACAGATGTTCCTGAACTAGAAAGCCCCAGATTGGGAGCATAGTCACAGGAGGACCAGTGGTAGCAGGGCCGGGGCTAGCTTCCGACAGCCTCACTGGGACAAGAGTCGGGGAGCAGCAGCGGGGCATCTGGAAATCTGGCAGGAGCCAGGCAGCGGGGCTGGGGCCAGATCTGGCCAGCAACCACACAATGGGGCTAGAGCCATCCTGCAGGGCAGGCAGTAGGTGGGCTGGCAAGGGCCGAAGATAGAGGGACCAGCCAGGGCCCAAGTGGAGCTGGCAGGGAAGAGGAGAAGTGGGCTGGGGACCCTCCCCTGGTTCAGCAAATTCCCTAGTTCGGGACCAGTCAGGGCCTGAAGGTGCCGGACCAGAGAAGTCCAACCTATATCACAATTTCTGGCTGCAAGAGATCTAAAATGCTTGTCTGTGCTTAAATGAGCCCCATTGACAGAACTTAACTTGTGCTGCTGCAGTTGGTAAAGGTGAGTCTTAGTCACAAAATTCAGCTCTGAAAGTATGTCTAAAATTTGGGGAGTTCTGTCTGGTGGTTTGATTTTGGTCCCATTTTTTCCCTTTGAATTTGTAAATCTGCATCTACGAATTTTTCCAAGCATTGTTCTACTTCCTTTTCCTAGATTTGCATGGGAAAATCTCTTCTTGTAACCCATCAAGGCAGCATTGTTTGTGCTAACAGGTACACCAGGCTTTAAATGACAGCAAATTACAGTTTGTTGAAAGGGTGTTGCTTTTGAACATGATCCTTCTGAATTTGGGAGGTGGTATATGTTATGATGGAAGAAACGTGCTCCTCTTCACATCTAACTTGCAACATTTACTAGTGCAGAGGGAAGTAGAGTGACAGTAACATTTGATGTGCTGAATTGTGATGGTTTTATCCTACTACAAATGCACACTACATAGGAACCAATCAAATCTTTTACTTAAGATCATCAGGCATAAAATGTGCATGGTGAGTGTATCAACCCACAGTGCCATGCAGTGTTGTCCCTTAGGATTTTGCCCTGCTTGCAGAATTTATTATTAGATGGGTTTAGTTCTAGTGTAAAGATCAGTTCTTAAAAGATCAAAAGTTGTACGCAAACCCTGCTTATAGCAGTAGGAAACAATGGACAACAAAACCAATACCCTGCCTCTTCTCTAGAGTTTTCATTACAATGATCTCAAAGTCCTTTACAATCATGAATAAACTTTTCCTGTAAACATCCCTAAGAAGTAAATAGGTATTACTGTTCTCATTTTACTGATGGCTTACCTGTGATTGCAGCTTATTGTACCACACATATGACATGAGCTGCCTTCCCGCAACATGTTTCTGGCTTGCTTGGCCCCTGCCCCAGCAGCTGAGGCAGAAGTGGTCTGCCCTTCACTACTGAGGACAAGGGCTGAGTGAGCTGAAGTCCCCTCTTCCCCCAGCATGCTCAGCTTCTGTCCCTGGCAACCAAGCCCAGGCAGAGAGCTAGCCACTGCTGCCTCCTAGGTAGGTGCTCTCAGGCAGAAGCAGCTGCATCCTATTCCCCACCTGGCTACCAGGGAGAAAAGGCAACATGTCAA